GCCTTCTCTGATGTCTGGGGCTGAGCCGTGGGACCAGTTTCCAGCAACGCACCAGCGTACCTTTTTACCTCCCCATTCTGCTATCTTTAGGAGATGCTAGCTAACGTTGCAGCCGCTGGTTTGCCAGCCACAGACCTCAAATCTCACATCTGCCAGAGAGCCATTGCTGTTCCTCTGGGGCATGTAGTGGGCATGAGTACTGGAGTTAATGGAAGCCAGCTGTGCTAGGTGCTCTATTCCAGCGCCCCCCCCCAACCTTTTGGGCAACAGGGACTGGTTCTGTGGAGAGAGATTTTTCCACGGGCCAGAGGGGGTGTAGTTTTGTGTGCTGCCTGCATCCCGCGAATGGGGCTTGCTTGTTTGCGCGGCCCAGTTTTTGGCATGCTGCGGCCCAGTGCCGTTCCACAGACTGGGGGTTGGGGATCCCTGCTCTAGTCACTGCAGTCTCCTTGGCTGGCTCCACAGGGAATTCCTCCCCCTCCCCCAATCTTCCACTTCCCAAAGACCTCTAGGGAAATACACACGAATTCTAGTCAGTCCACAACTTGTTTGGATAGTGAACACCCATCCCACAGGGGCCAAAATTGCTGGAGCCACCGTTATGGGTCTACCCAACTGCATCTACTACTAGTAGTCACCTTCTACAGCGCTCTCCTCAGTCTTATTAGCCGCACTCAGCCCATCCTCCCCTCCCAAAAGGAGATGGGCTCCCTGCTAAGACTATCCACTCTCCATCGTGCGAGATTTAAGCCCTAACCCAAGTTTTGTTTGAACTCTAGTGCAAGTCAGCTTTAGAGCTTCTAGTGTGGAAAATTGCATTCTTGATAACCATAACTTCTACCAGACGGGGGTCAAGAAAAGGAGAAATCTCTGTCAAGAAAAAAATTCCCATTAGCCAGCCAGACATCATCACTACCTGAAGTTAACCTTCATTATTGAGATGAATTTGGATTTTTACTGGGGCCAAGGTTCAGTTAGAAAGGAAATTAGTATAAACTGGATGTGAAATAACAAGGCAAGAGATGGATGATTTCCAAGTAGCCAGCTGTCACCCCATTTCCTTCCTTCCTTCCTTCTCTTTTCCTTCGCCACATTTTGCCGTTGCTTAACACAATTCCTTTTGTTTCCTAGATACGAGAAGCGTCTTTTCTGATGATGGGTCCCTTGCGCATTTCCAGAGCCTCTTTTGTCATGTGGGGCTTGTGCAGCCACGATCATGAACTGCTCCCTTCACAGAAGTGCCATTTTGCTAAAGACACAGAGCTACGTGCCATTTCCCAAATCATCAGCTGCTCTGACCAAGGCTGAAGAGAACTTATTCCAGAGATGGTGCTGTATACTGACGGAAGCCCTGTAGATGTGTGTTCTTACACTATTTTTACAATAAAACTTGAGGAACGAGTCTTTTAACGTTTTCCAGTGCATCTGGGGATCAGTTCAGTCTGCCTTTTCTGTTGGTAGTTTCTAAAGGAGAATTTGATTGGCTGCTCTCCAACGTATGTCAACAAAACCTTTCGTATATAGTCATCCATTTTACTTCCTAAAAATGATTTTCACCCATCCCCTGTGCAAACGTTGCAACATGCACACTCCCTGTCACATTCTTCTTAAACTCATTTCCAGCTGTTGCTTTGCTCCATATGAAAGATTGGTTTTTTTGGAAGCAAAGAGTTTCCAGCTTCCAGAGATTGTTTTATCCACCCCAAACTATGTCTAAAGAATCTACTCTTAGTGGATATTCAGATTTATATGAAAAAGGCATCTGTTGGTGCTCCAGCCCAGTGTTCAGGTTTGAAGGAGAACATTCTTTTCTAGTTTCAAAGCAGAATGATTTATCACCATCCAAGATCAATGTTAGTGGGAGGACTGTTGGTTATGTTACATTCTTAGGCCTAGTTATCTGCTTGTGTGGGCAAGATCTCACACTTTTATGTAACTTCAAACATGAATACTGGTAGGTATTAATAAACAAGGAAGCATTAGCAAAATTATAAATTTACTTAACTAAAAATGGTGAAATAAATGCATGAGTACTTCCTACAAAAAGATGATGCTTACACCTTAAAAATGCTTTTTATGCAGATCATTGCTATTACACAGAAGAGCATTCCTTAACATTGTGTAAATATGGTATATTTTTACATATTTATTATAAAATATGAACTAAGCAGATTCAAGTCTCAAAATCTTGGAATAATGTTTTTCTTCTCCGGTCCATTACCTAGGTCCTTTATTCTTCACAGTTGGGGCTGTGTTTCTTTTTTAATGGTTTTACAAAACAATAGAGTAAGAAATGCACAGACATCTGGCTGCTGTCATAGTAGCCTACAACTCTTGCAGTCTAACTTTAGGAGTTCCTCTTTGTTAAAAAAATCACGTTTCTCATATTCAGTCTGTTCGTCTTTTGATTGGCCTGGGAAAGCTAACTGAAATATTCTAGAGGATCATATGGAAGAATGGACACGTTTATTTGGTGGCTTATGGGACATCTGTTGCATATACAAATTGGAGAGCCAGTTTGGTGTAGTGGTTAAAGGCACTGGACTGAAAACTGGAAGACTTGAGTTCTAGTCCTGCCTTAAGCATAAGACCAGCCAGGACCCAAGTCAGCCCTTTCAAACCACTTCCCCAAAAAAGGTCAACCCAACTATGTGGATTTGTCTCTGTAGTCTTGAGAGACTACTCAAACAAACAAACAAGCCTTCAGTTTTTAAGGTATGCATGCCAATGGTTTATGCCATATCACAGTGAAGCATTCTGTAAAAATATTTTGGGGGAAAGATGCATTAACTTGTACAGATTCCTTGATTTGATACACAAAATACCTGTCAACAGGACTTAAATTACCTTAAATTCAAAGGCAAATAGCTGCCCAGTCATTTGCAGATGCCCTTGTGCAGCAACAGCACCTGTCCTCAATTCCCTAAAGCAGCCACATTTTTTCCTGGCATCACATGACTGCCCTCTGCTGGGTGTTCCTATAAAAATATGCATTCCAGGGATAGGCAACCTTCGCTCTTTTATGACTTGTGGACTTCAACTCTCAGAATGCTGGCTGAGGAATTCTGGGAGCTGAAGTCCACGAGTCATAAAAGAGCCAAGGTTGCCTATCCCACAGTTGCAGTTTGTGCATCCAAGTGGAGCCACTTTTTTGTCTTTTGAATCAAATTATTAAACTGTTCTACTAAAAGCTCATTTCCTATCTTATCTCATGGGAAATAAATACAGGTTCATAATAGTGAGGCTATGAAATATGTTTAAAAGACCAGTTAGCTTTCCTGGAGCGCTTAAATGTGAGAACCAAAATCGCTTTCCGTTAACTGTAAAAGATTTGGGATCCACTTAGATATATCGTTGACTCATCTTGTTGACTGTTCCACAAGTCCTGGCAAAGGGCAGCTCTGTTCTTGGTGCATATATTTAAACAATACCTCCTCAAAGTTCAGAGTTCGCTCAGCTTTTGCCAGAGGCAGACGTGTGCAATACAGGGAGTCCTCGACTTACGACCACAATTGAGCCCAAAATTTCTGTTGCTAAGTGAAACGTTTGTTAAGTGAACTTTGCCCCATTTTATGACCTTTCTTGCCACAGTTATTAAGTTAGTAACGCGATTATTACGTGAATCTGACTTCCCCACTGACATTGCTTGCCAGAAGGTCCACAAAACGAGATCACATGGCCCCAGGACACTGCAACCGTCATAAATATGAGTCAGTTGTCAAGCCTCTGAATTCTGATCATGTCACCATGGGGATGCTGCAACAGTTGTATGAAAAACTCATAGGTCACTTTTTTCAGTGCCGTTGTAAGTTTGAATGGTCACTAAATGAACTGTTGTAAGTCGAGGACTATCTTTATGACATGTTCCTTAAAACTATGGGTCTGGGATATGCTTAAGCTAAGCAATACGGCACGCCAGCTGTTTGCTCTGCAGAATGGCAGGAGAGGCTATGGCCTTGTAACAGAATACATGATTCCTATACAAACTCTCCCAGGTTCAAGAGGGCTTGGAGTATAGTCTGAGCTTTCATTGACAGGAAGCAGTCCTTCAGTAGGAGATGTGAGGGAACGGTGGTTAGAATACAGTATTGCAAGCTAACTCTGCCCACCACTAGGAGTTCGATCCTGACAGGCACTAGATTGATTCAACATTCTTCCGATGTCGGTAAAATGAGGACCCAGATTACTGGGAGCAATATGCTGTAAACTGCTTAGCGAGTGCTGTAAAGCACTATGGAGTGGCATATTAAGTGCTATTGCTATTGCTACTGATTCACTCATGTTCTGCCATATAGGCCTTTTAAATGAGATTTTATTCAAAAGACAACTCATAGCTCAATGGTAGACAACAAGCCTCACATCAATGCTGAGCTACAAGCAATAAGCTAACCATGAGGCACATCCCTCTCACTTCCTAAGCCATGACATCGTCCTCTAGCTCTGGCATCGTCCTCTAGCTCTACAAACCCAGAACCCCCCTCCTTCTCATTGCAGCCACCATGTGCAGGCACACGCCACATGCAGAACACAGAAAAACCTGTTGGCGTGGTCTCTGGCATGGGTTACGAATATTGACAATAGGGAGAGGAGATTAGAGACCTTCCTTATATGTTTTTCACATGTTCTTTTTACGATTTGTTCGCTGGGCTGCTTAAATAAAAAACTTAAATTGCAGTTCACTGATAATGCAGGATATCCCTAAGCAGGGTCAAGCAGAGGGTTGTATATAAATAGAAATAAGAGTAGATGAAATGTTTATAAACAATTAAAAAGTTTAAAAACTTTTAATTGTTTATAAACATTTCATCTACTCTTGGTGATCGTAATTATTTTGATACAACATGGACGTACCCAAGAGTCGGATTTTTAGCTCTATTTCTAGCCAAATAGAAATAAATAAATTAAATAAATAAATAACAAAACAGATGACACAGAGTGGGCAGAGAAGCCCACATTTAAAACGTTTGTCTCAAAGCCTGTAAATCCATTTTGGACAAATAATTTTATTTCCGTCTACCCAACAGATTTCCTCTTGAGGACAAAAATTCACTAGCAGCCTGCAGTTGTTTCAGATAACAACTAGATATAAGACACAAACAGTGGTGCGTAACAATCACTTTCAGGCCTTCTTTTCCAAGCTGGGGCTCACGCTGCAACGCAAGGAAGAGCAGCCAGCCTCAGATCTAGCTGTAAGCCTGGGGGGAAAAAAAACAACAACCCCAGCTCTTCTGGTGATGTTTTGCTGCTGATGCTTGTCTGTGACTGGGAGAAGCAGCTGAAGGCTCCCTGAAGGGGCGGGCAGCCATGACAGTAGAGTCTCTTTCTCTAGCCTGCTTAGAACGCCTCTTATCTCGTCTTACCCTTAAAGGCTTATTCAGATATGGTACCAGGGGGAGGAGGAATGAGTCCAGCAGCCGTCACACGTCGTTCGCTTACCAGGAAGTTGAAAGTGGCGCAAGCGTTAGGCTGTGGAGCCAAAGAGATGAGACAGAATTAACAGAGTAACAACAGTTGGGAAAGACCTTGGAGGTCTTCTCATCCAACCCCCCCCCCCCTACTCAAGCAGGAAACCCTACATAATTGTCCAATCTCTTCTTCAAAATCTCTAATGTTGGAGCACCCACAACTTCTGGAGCCAAGTCCTTCCACTGATTAATTGTTCTAACTGTCAGGAAATTTCTCCTTAGTTCTAGGTTGGTCCTCTCCTTGATGAGTTTCCATCCATAAGAAGGTTACGTACAGCTGGGCGCCTGGGTCCAAGTTCAAAGCCAGTAGGGGAAAAATGCACCCCAACCAAAGGACTCCGTATGGAGAAAAAGATGGAGAGCCTATTTGTATTGCTAGTTCGTGCTTTAGCGAATCGCTATATCAATGCATATGGAGGAAAAGAGCAATACAATCAAGATCACGTGAAGTCTTAATACCACTTTATATGCCTTGGTAAGGCCACACTTGGAATACTGCATCTAGTTTTGGTCACCGCGATGTAAAAAAGATGCTGAGACTCTAGAAAGAGTACAGAGAAGAGCAACAAAGATGATTAGGGGACTGGAGGCTAAAACATATAAGGAACGGCTGCTGGAATTGGGTATGTCTAGTTTAACAAAGAGAAGGACGAGGGGGGACATGATAGCAGTGTTCCAATATCTCAGGGGCTGCCACAAAGAAGAGGGAGTCAAGCTATTCTCCAAAGCGCCTGAAGGCAGGACAAGAAGCAACGGATGGAAACTAATCAAGGAGAGAAACAACCTAGAACTAAGGAGAAACTTCCTGACAGTTAGAACAATTAACCAGTGGAACAACCTGCCTCCAGAGGTTGTGAATGCTCCAACACTGGAGGATTTTAAGAAGAGACTGGACAGCCATTTGTCCGAAATGGTATAGGGTTTCCTGCCTGAGCAGAGGGTTGGACTAGATGACCTCCAAGGTCCCTTCCAACTTTACTATTATTATTATTATTATTATTATTATTATTATTATTATTATTATTATTATTATTATTATTATTATTATTATTATTATTATTATTATTATTATTATTACAAATTCCACTGCAAAATGCCAAAGGCATTACTGCCAAATTTCCTGGAGCATACGATCCAAGACAAGACTTCTGGAGATAAAAGTAAGCTCCATATGCATTTCTGTGCACTTTAAAGAAACAAACCACGAGGACTGGAAGTATGCAACCTAAATAAGAATGCTAAGCATGCCAAACACTGCATCAGGCAAAATGAGGTTTCATGCTGCCTGGGCCATCCGGCTTTTTCTATTCTGAGGTTTCATGAAATCCTAGACCAGAAGAAGAAAAACTCTACTGTGTTGCTTTCTCCCCTAATCTTTCTTGCTATCTGCTTCTTCCTGTCCTTACTGCACCCCCTCTTACCGTGCTTTGTACTTCCACAGCAATCCCACGTTGCTGCAAACATTTCAGGACATCAGGATCCAGCCTCTCTACTTTGCCTCCAGTTCCCAGGACCACAATTTCTAGGACAACCAGCAGGGGAAGACGATGAGATGCTATTTCCTCCTTAAGACCAAAACTAACAAAAACCCACGAAAACCCCAGCCCAAGACCCACAGTTCTTTTGTTACCTATTTTGGGCTCCAGCATATAGAACAGAACAAGGCTGTCTGGAATAATATCTTTAAATGTGCCAACCTGGAATATGAAACAAAATAATATTAAGACTAACTTTTCCAATACTTGATACGCAGCATAACAAAAAGCAGTGTTTCTCAACCTTGACCACCTGAAGATGTGTGGACTTCAACTACCAGAACTCTCCAGCCGGCATGTTGAAGTCCACACATCTTCAAGTGGTCAAGGTTGAGAAACACGGCTTTAGATGGGCTACATGATCTCTGAAGGTGAGCGGGAGTTTTATGCATTAAAATACATACAAGTTTCCATTAAAAACATTATTCTATGTCAGTGGTGGCGAACCTATGGCACGGGTACCAGAGGCGGCACTCTGAGCCCTCTCTGTGGGCACACGCACTACCGCCACCAGCAGCAGGTCCATCAGGCCGCCACCGCCGCCTGGAGCAGGAGCCCCACCCAGCACAAAGGCGAAGCGGCCGATTAGTATTTTACATGCGTCCATGCGCACAAGGGGCCACGAGCACGCACGTACTGCAAATGGGGCAGGGCTAGTGCCTGTTTGATATTCACTAGACCTGCCCCGTTCTTGTGTGGTGCAGCGCCTTCTATCTGCACTGTGTGGCGCGGCGGCAGCCATTTTGCAGCATGATGGTCCATTTTTGCGCCCCCGGTTTTTGCATGCCAGAGGCAGCACTCAGAGGCGCCTCCCTGCCCCCCCCGAGGGCACCACAATGCTGATGCGGCCCTGGCACTTTGCAATAAATAAGTGGGTTTGGGGTTGCGGTTTGGGCACTCAGTCTCTAAAAGGTTCGCCATCACTGTTCTATGTGAATTGCAAACTGGCATGTACAGGTGGTCCTTATTAAATGACACTCACTCAGCAACCGTTCAAACTTGGGATGGCACTAAATGAGTGCTAGTTATGACTGATCTCATTGTTGCAGTGACCTTGTAGTCACACGATCACGATCCAGGTGTTCAGCAACCAGCCCAGATTTCTGTCAATCACAGCATCCCGCTATCACGTGAACATAGTTGACAGCTTCCCACAAGCAAAATCATTGGGGCAGCCAGCAGGAAGTCAAGTTCCTGAGGTTCTTGTGTAATGATGGTAATCTGGAACTGGCTGGAGCTGCCATCGCTAAGCGGTGTGATCATGTACATTGCTCTTTACAACCATATTGCTTAGTAATGGAAATTCCCATCATTAAGCAAGGACTTGCTGTACATGGCTTTAAGGAAAAATATATTACAATTAGAAAATATATATCCTGAACTGGAGAGATTCACGTATCTCTATTAAGGAACTGAAAAGCTTACACACTCACATTCCACTGCAGGATGGCTTGTGGCAAAATAGCGCAAGGGCCTACCACTGTGTTCCCACTGATGGAGAAACCAAAATTACTGTAATTTTCAATAAACATGGTGTTTGGTGATTCTCTTTCCAAATGATGGATTGTTGTTTTTTGGAGAAGCTCATCATCGGAAGGCGTGAGGCGATGATTTCGCTGAGATTGCCTGAAACTGAAAAGACAGAGAGAAAACATGAGATAATGGCGGCAGGCCTGACCAGTAAGTCAAAATGCCAGTTAGCCAGCTTTCACTACACTTTTACTGGATGTTACATGAATCACTCTAACTAAATGGAAATCTGTGGGGCTACCATCTGGAGTTGAGCTACATCCAAAAAGGACAGACAGCATAGTAACCTTGAATGTTGGTTAAAGCCCTATGCAGGATTAAGAAGTAAAATTGTGGCCGGTGGGGAAGTAAAATTATAGTCCAGTTACAAGTAGTTGGCTTACAACCACAATTGAGCCCAAAGTTTATGTCGCTAAGTGTGACATTCATTGAGTTTTGCATCATTTTATGACCTTTCTTACCGCAATTGTTAAGTGAATCACTGCAGCTGTTATTGTATAGCTCTGTTTTTACTTACCTGTAAGCCGCCCTGAGTCCCTCGGGAGAAGGGCGGGGTATAAATTAAAGTAATAAAATAAAATAAATAAATAATGTGATTGTTAAGTGAATCTGGCTTTCCCATTAACGTTGCTTGTCAGGCGGCTGCAACAGATGATCATATGATCCTGAGATACTGCAACCGTCATAAATATGAGCATCTGAGTTTTCATCATGTGACCATAGGGATACTGCAATGGTCATGAGTGTGAAAAATGGTCATAAGTCACATTTTTCAGTTCCAAACGGAACTGGAAACGGTCACTAAATGAACTGTTGTTAAGTCGAGGACTAGCTGTACTTCTAGGTACAATGTGAAAAAACAGCATTTAAATTATAGTAGGAAGGTTATTGTCTTGTCCCCTTATTTTAATCCAGAATAATTTACATCCCTTTATTGCAGTTTTCCCAACCTTAGCCATTTTAAAGATGCAAGGACTTCAACTGCCACAATATTCCAGCCAGCAATATAATTTTTATGAGGTAAATGCTCTAGACAGAATGGCATAATTACGGTAAATAATTTTGGCAACCTTCTGTAAGGTTCAACTGCCCTGTTATTGTTGATACTGCTGGCTTCTCAATGGGTTTAAAGCTCTTGAAACAAGCAACACTAAGGACTTTTCAAACAAGATTTTAGGTTTTCAAGGTACAGGTAGTCCTTGACTTACAACAGTTCATTTAGTGACTGTTCAAAGTTACGACATCACTGAAAAAAGTGACTTATGAGTTTTTCATACAACTGTTGCAACATCCCCATGGTCACATGATCAAAATTCGGATGCTTGACAACTGACTCATACTTATACCGGTTTCAATGTCCTGAGGTCATGTGATCTCGTTTTGTTCCTTCTGATAAGCAATGTCAAAGGGAAGCCAGATTCACTTAACAACCGTGTTACTAAATAACTGCAGTGATTCACTTAACAACTGTGTCTAGAAAGGTCGTAAAATGGGACAAAATTCACTTAACAAATGTTTCACTTAGCAACAGAAATGCTGGGCTCAATTGTGGTCATAAGTCGAGGACTACCTGTATTGCACATGCCTGCCTCTGGCAAAAGCTGAGTGAACTCTGAACTTTGAGGAAGTATTATTTAAATACATGCATCAAGGACAGCTGCCCTTTGACTTAAGACCATTTTTCACACTTACGACCATCCCAGTATTCCCCACGGTCACGCGATGAAAATTCAGATGCTTGGCAACGGGTTCATATGACAATTGCCATGTCCCGGGGTCATGTGATCACCTTTTGCCACCTTCTGACAAGCAAAGTCAACGGGGGGGGGGGGGGAGAACCAGTTTCACGTAACAACCGTGTTACTTAATTTAGCAACTGCAGTGATTCCCTTAACAATTGTGGCAAGGAAAGTCAACAATTGTGGCAGAGAAAGGCAGAATTCATTTAACAAATGTTTCACTTAGCAGCATAAATTTTGGGCTCAATGATGGTCACAAGTCGAGGACTAAGCCGTAATTACAAATGGCCTTGAAAAGGGTGTGCATATAAAATAGGGTACCCCCCCCCCCGGAAACCCTCTTCCAGCTGAGCAACAAAAGCCAAAGAGCGTTTCCCTTCCCTTCCCATCCGGATACCTCGGCACCCTGACAGGCAGCAGATCTGCCAATATCAAATCCAATTTTAATTCGGACTCCAACATAATTTACAAATCCATCCAGATCTGGGATTGCCCTGCCCCTTCCTGAGCCACAATTAAACCAAGACGCGATTTCTTTTTTTTTTTTTCCCTGCACCACCTCACAGAAAAAAGGGGTTTAATTCCTTCCTCCTGCAGGCAAGCTCCTAATTTAGAGGATTTCGCATCTCAAGCCGCCGAGGCCGAAAGGTACCGCCCCAGGACAGGCTTCTTCGCCCTCCCCAGGACCGCACCGGCGTTTCCCCGAGCGCTCCTATGGAAATCCAGCTTGCTGAGCTTCAGCCAAGGTCAGTTGGGAGCCAAAGCCCGGAGCCACGCGCAACCCCGGGCATTTCTTTTACGGGCACGGCGGAGCCTCCGCACCAGGCTGGACCCCGGGAGGCGGAGCTCCTCAGCGCGGAGCCGAAATGCAGCTGCAGCTGCCGGGCGCTTTTCTGCCTCCAGCCCCGTCGCTGCACTGACCTGCGGGCGAGAGCGGGCCTTGCTCTCCAGACGAGAGCCGAGCCCAGCGACCGGAGGGCAGCCATGAGAGCGGCAGGAAGAGCGGGCGGGGCCTTGCCGGGGAGGGCCGCCCCACGCCCTCTAGCGGTGGTCGGAGCAAGGACGCGCAGGCAGCTGTCAATCACGCTCTGCTCAGCTACTTCATTCTTATCCCCCCCCCCCTTCCCCAAAGGCGGTGCTATAAAGGAGGGTGTCTAATAAAGGTAAGTCCAACATTACAAAAGTTCATTGAGTGACCGTTCAAACTTACTACGGCACTGAAAAAAAAATAACTTAGGACCGTTTTTCATACTTACGACCGTTGCAGCGTGCCCATAGTCACATAATCAAAATTCAGCCTCTTGGCAACTTGACTCATATTTATTTTATTTTTTATTTTTTTTAATTAAAAAGTTTTTTATTTATAATACAATTAAAACAAAAATGGACATATGTGGCATTCCAGAGTAAATCTTCCTAACAGTTTGTTTCTCGTGATACAAAACCTTAATACATCATCCTTAACCTCTATATAGGCCTTATTCTTCTACACAATACAATTATATATACAATTATATGTACAGTTATATGTATGTTTCAATCCTATCGTTAGCTTAAGACAGGGGTGTCCAAACTTTTTTCAAAGAGGGCCAGATTGGATGAAGTGAACGTGCTGGAGGGCCGAACATTTTTCCAAACATTCTTTGAACCATTACAATTAAATGCAAATGAATTATTTTATGCCTCTTTCCTCTCCCTCTCTTTCCTCTTTCTCTCTCTCTCTCTTTCCTTTCCCTTTCCTCTCCCCTCTCNAACCCCGGGCATTTCTTTCACGGGCACGGCGGAGCCTCCGCACCAGGCTGGACCCCGGGAGGCGGAGCTCCTCAGCGCCCAGCCGAAATGCAGCTGCAGCTGCAGCAGCTCCAGCCCCTCCCCCGGGTGGCAAAGGGGCGACGGGCGCTTTTCTGCCTCCAGCCCCGTCGCTGCACTGACCTGCGGGCGAGAGCGGGCCTTGCTCTCCACACGAGAGCCGAGCCCAGCGACCGGAGGGCAGCCATGAGAGCGGCAGGAAAAGCGGGCGGGGCCTTGCCGGGGAGGGCCGCCCCACGCCCTCTAGCGGTGGTCGGAGCAAGGACGCGCAGGCAGCTGTCAATCACGCTCTGCTCAGCTACTTCATTCTTATCCCCCCCCCATTCCCCAAAGGCGGTGCTGTAAAACAGGGCTTTTCAACCTTTTCACCCATTGTACCACTTTTAGGATATGGCAACATCCGAGTACCACCAGTCGCCTAGCAAGGTGTCAAAAACTTGATGACCCCCCCTAAAAGGAAAAAAGTGATAAAGTACAGGTAGTCCTCGACTTACAACAGTTCGCTTAGTGACTGTTCGAAGTTACAATGGCACTGAAAAAAGTGCCCCCCAAGCCACAGCCGAGCAAGACGCCTGCCTGCCCGCCTGGCGGCGCTCTTCCTCCTGTCCGAGGTTTTGATTGTTGTGAGCATTTCTGTTGAGGGTTGGCAGCAGGGGTGGGGTGGGGGGGTGTTTGGTTTTTATTCCCCCCCCCTTCGTCTGCTGGGTGGTTGCAGCAGGTTTTGTTCACTTCACATGACCCTGGGACACTGTGACGGTCATAAATATGAATCAGTTGCCAAGCATCTGAATGTAAATCACAAGACCCTGGAGATGCTGCAACTCGGCGCTTCTTCTGGGCTCAGCAGAAGCGCCAGGATCAGTGCCGAGCTCCAGCTAGAGCCTGGCGCTGATCCTGGCGCTTCCACTGAGCCCTGACAGCCCTGCAGCTCCAGCCATCTCTCGCTCAGGCTTGTGCAGTGCTGCCACCGGTTCAGCTCATTTCCCCCACCCGCACTACCACTTTTCTAGGATAGTCACGTACCACCTGCCAGGTGCCAATGTACCACAGGTGGTACCCGTACCACTGGTTGAAAAGCCCTGCTATAAAGGAGGCTGTTTAATAAAGGTAAGTCCAACATTACAAAAGTTCATTGATTGACCGTTCAAACTTACTACGGCACTGAAAAAAAATGACTTAGGACCGTTTTTCATACTTACGACCGTTGCAGCGTGCCCATAGTCACATAATCAAAATTCAGCCTCTTGGCAACTTGACTCATATTTATGACAGTTGCAGTGTCCCTGAGTAATGTGATCAGCTTTTGTGACCTTCTGACAAGCAGGGTCAATGGGAAATCCAGATTCACTTTATTTATTTATTTATTTATTATTTCAATTTATATCCCGCCCTTCTCCCGAAGGACTCAGGGCGGCTCACAACATTATTAAAACAAAGAAAGACCCACACACCCCACCGAATAAAACCAAATTAAAACCAAAATTTTTATGTTGTGATAATTAAAATTTCTAAAAAACCCAGTTTAAAAATCCTCCCTAGGCCAGGCC